TTGGTGGATCTTGGAGCCTGCTGGAATTGGCTCTTCCAGACATGTGAGAACCTTCTGTCACTTCTCACAGAARCCAACCCTGTAATCCCTCTGCTACCAAAACCTTGCCATGSAAMCAAAATTTGGCAACGTGGCTGGAGGAGTGGTAAAGCAGCTGAATAATTCTCAGTTATCCTTCTGTTCCTTGGCAGAGTKAAATCATCTCAGTCTTTGTGTTTGTGTGGGTTGTATGGGGCATTTTTAAAAGCTGTAGTGATGACTTTGCAGCAATCACAGCCATGCTACGTTATTAGTTATCCTTGTCATCAAGTTTTTCCTAATAACTGACTTTCCTTTGGTTCATTTTGCTGTTATTTTCTGTTCTCCATGTCCATGAAAAAATACTTTGTTTTCTTCATGTTAGCCTTTTATATAGCAAAAAGTCATTATCTTGTCCTCTTTTGAGCATCTTTTGTCTGGACTAAATAACCCCAATTCTTTTACTGCTTCCTAATGAGCTCTATTTTTAAGGCAGCCATTCATTTTTTTGTTCTTTTCTGTTCTTGCCTGTATATTTTTTGAAATGCGTTGCCTGTCAACAGGGAACTGCTGGAGCTGAAATAGAATCTATGAGTTCAACCCATTAAAAAAAAAATAAAAAAAATATTCCATGCTAAGTAACTGTGTTGTCTGATAACAGCATATTATTTATAAGTGAGAGCCCGAGGCTTTTGCTGTTGTTTTTATGGTAAGTTTGGAACTTGCTRAAGAGCACTTTGGACACATATGAGGTTTCCCATAAAAGGCACCTCACTCATGACTGYTTGCTACACTTCTTTTCTCTCCCTCTCTCCAAAAATGCTCTTGTGTCACTTGGCTCTGATAAAATCCCATGCAGCTTACTCCAGTCTGCATTGGTAAATACTGTGCCAAGCACTCAGTGGCTTTTTTATGCAGAAGTAGAAATGAGACAGGACTGAGATGGCAGTGATAGAAAGTTAAGAAAGGCATGCCTTCAACTAATTTTTTATTTCCTTACATTCCATTTTGGATGAGAATGATACAGAGATGGAATGTTGTACTTTGTGATGGCAAATCAGTGGTACTCAGGAGTCCTCAGCCCAGGAAGGTGACAGGAAAGTGCCTTTAATCACAGTCAGTTTGGACAGGTACTGCTGAATTGTCTGAATTAGCAGTTCCTGCTGTGTTCTGATCTGCAATGCMTCAGTGATTGCCTTCCTTTAACTGTCTTGGCCAGATTGAAGTACATTTAGATCAGCTCAACCTTTACTTTATATTCTCTAGCTGAAAACTCTTTCTCCAGATTCCATACATTCCAAACTGATTAAAAGCTAGATAGCAATATAAATAGTTAGCCATCAAGAATTTTTTCTATGGATGTTCTTCTACTGAATATTCCTATGTTTCACTATCTTTTATTAATGAACAATATSATAGTGCATAGCACTTTCAGACGGTGCAAGATACAAAAGCTGAAAATAAACAAATTCATGTTACAAATGTCCTTCCAAACTATTTACCATTTCCCTGGAAGCCATCATTCTGCTCTTGGTTAGGAATTGAAGTTTGCCTGCACTGTAGAGGGACTCCCTCTAAATGAATCCCAGTAGACAGCTTTGTCTGGTCTTGACCCATCTACTGCTTAAAATTCTAAAAGTTTAACATGAATTTTTGATGCTTATTTATAGATGTAAATGAAGTAGTTCTTATGTAAGACTAAGCTTTACATAAGCTTACATAAGCTATCAAGACTGAGCTTTTAGTTCTCCTAAGGGTTTCTTTTTTTCCCAGTTAGCATAGATTCCACCTGTATTATACCTCTTCCTGAAACTGTGCCTTCCTAATTTCACTTGGTCCTTAATTCAAGGTTGGTGTTACCTGAACTTTACTGCTAATTTTTTGTGTTTTTTCTCTGACTGTTTCTTTTCAACTTCTTTGCTAAAAATCATTCGAGCCATATTGCTCTGCTACTTCACAATTCTATCAAGTCATATTCTCAGGTAGATTTTTTTCCAGTTCAGACATATCCCATCTTACAATTCATATGGAGAACCTCTGTAAAAGTTCTTTTCCTGGCTCATTGCTTTGTGATTCACCTCCATCTCTCCATACTCCACTACATCAAATACAATTAGATGTCATCTTTAATACTTTCTTCTGCTTTATTTCATGTCTCAAAACATTAGGGTATTGATTTTTTTCCACCTTCATATGAAAAATAAGGTTGTTCTTGATTGCTTATTTTTTCAGCTTGCTTCTCTAAAGAACAACTCTTCAGTTTCTTCCAATAGACTTCACAAATCCAACCCCTGTAGTCCTTCTTAAAGAGTGCTGGTCAGGTAGTTGATAATGGAATTGTAGAATGAATATCTCAATTTAGAAGGACCCATAATCTCTGAAATTCCCTTGTGCATCTTCATTCTATTTCCTCATGTCCTGTTGCTGGTCACCAAAGAGATAATGTTTCTAATAATAATAATAATAATAATGTASTACACTCGTGTTGCATAAGTTATTTTGGGATATGGTAGTTCTTTTTGTTACTGGTTTGTGTGGTGCTTCAAACTGGTAGATAATGCTACCTCCAGATTAAAGAGATATTTCTCTAGAAAGATAGTGAATACTGAGAGTGCATTAATTAAGATGTATGCTGGCAATTARCTGGGAAAAGCAGATTCATACTGTGGGGATATATCAAATATGTCCTGTTTGGAAAACATGCTGCAGGTAGGCTTAGAAGGAACTTTCTCCCAATTGYTTGTCTGTCTAATATTTTGGGCTCTGAGTAAGGCTATTACAGATTTATGTTCTAAAAGTAAGTAGAAATAACACTARAAATGACTGAGATTTTGTCCTGTGAGTAATTTCTCTGATTAATCAAAATAGAGAGCAAAGAATAGCCCTGTAATTATTTTTCATATGCATTATCAATGAAGGAAAAACTGGAAGAAACTTCGTATCTGGTTTTGCATAGACAATGTTCATGAAAAAATAGGAACTCTGTCTGCATTAATCTCATTTAAAAGAGATTAGAAGTTTGTAAAAATTAAAATGGTTAGGTTAGGAGAGTTGTGTCTTGGTTTTTAACTGCTAAATATAAGGTATGATTTAAAGACTGTTTTAGAAAGCATTTGAAATTCCTAATACTGGTGGAGGGAGGTGGGAGGAGACYTGATATTCTTCTGTAATAGGAATCTAAGAACTGTTGCTGGAGAGCTTGGAAGGAAAGAAATCAAAATGACAAGTTTGCCTTTCATGTTCAAATTGAACCGAAAGTTATAAAGTGAACAAGTGGCAAAAAATTGTAAGTTAATATGTTTTTTACATTGTGAAGCTTTTTAAATAAAAAGAGGTAGGTGGGGCAAGGAAATTTCAGTCTTTATAGTTCTTGGAGATAAATCAGACTTTGTAATTTTTTTGTAACTATTTGCAATTGATCCTATTATCTTAGGTTTTCAAGATCAAAGCAGTACAACTGGCAGGAAAACTTCTGCCAGCCTTCAACACACCTACGGGTATACCATGGGCAATGGTGAATCTCAAAAGGTAATGAGTTTTCTTTTGTGAAATATGTTCCTCCCCCTCCCTCCAACTTCAAATTAGTAATGCCATACTTAATTTTTTTCTTAGTAGTGGAACTGTAGAAGATGCAGASAAATTGTCATTCCTGGCACGTTAGAGTAATTTTGATAGAGTTCAGCTCATTCGAACTCATTAACTGCAATAAATTTTGATAATGTTTTTTTTAAATTCTGATTCTGCAGTAAGCATTCAGCATGCCATTYGTCCACACTGAGTGTATTATTCTGTGTGTTGCCCTAGAGCTTAATAATTGTTTCTTTAGCCATTACAAAATCTATTAAAAAACAAAATTGTTTGTAGGGCATGGTTGAACTTACTGTGTTTTCTGTACTGTGTGAGCTCAGTGTTACCTTTAAAAGATTCACAGCATTTGAGAAGATGATAGGAGTCTGCAGACATTGTTTTATTTTACATTTTAATTTAGGTAAAATGGTGTGCTGATRTGAACTAAGGTTTGTGGAGATTCAGATCARACTGAATTTAGATGGTCTGCATTGYCTCGTGGAASACAASTGCCTGGCTTAATTTATCTTCTATTGCCACTCAATGCTGGGATTTCCTTCAGATTTTGWGTGGGCATTTTTGATGCAARGCATCCTTTACATTTTCCCTACATCCTTAAACAGTAGCTGAATTGGGATGCATGTCTAGATTGTGTGTACATTTAAGCAATGTGGGATAGTAAATAGCAGAGAGTTTTGAATTGTTTTACTTTGTTTTCCTTTTGGAGGAAATATTTGTTGTTGAGTTTTGTTAAGACTGTGAAGAGACTGAAGATGACTTTGAGAATATCTCCCTTAAGTGCCTTTTTGTGATAAGGATATGCTTTTGGATTTGCTCTCAGCTTTGGGTGAAGAACATGGAGCTGTGCTTTGTCCCTTGTGCTGGTGCAGAAATTTTCTGTGTGCTGGTGTTGTTTATTATTTATATTTACTGTCCCAATCTCTTGGTAATGTACAGAATGAGCCAATGTCACAGCTGGAAGTGGTTTGTGACATGCCAAAGGACAGTGACAGCAGCAGGCATGAGTGTCACTTGTCATGGGGCTGATGTGCAGAARATCAGACCTGAAAGAAACATTTAGAAAATTATTAATGTGTGTTAYATTAGCTTTTGTATTCATAATTTTAAAAAAATCTTAATTTTCTCTTTTTATGAGATTTGTACCAAAAATACATTCTGTTAGCAGTGGTTACTCTRTCTTAAAAGGTGTGAATGCTACAARCACTGCTCCATAACCAACATTTTTCCTTTACATTTCCTCTTTATAATGTGTGATTTAGAAGATAGGCAAAAAGACATTCCTAACTGATTTTTGCCTTGCTCATAACTGAAATATTTTATGAGCAGAAGAAATCTTCAGAAATATATAGTTAACTCCAGAAATTAAAAGACCCAGTCCTGAAAGGTGATGAAAACTCCTAAATTCCATGAAACCAGAAGTAGTTTGGGATTTAGCAAGATGGTATCACTTAGAGTGCAAATTGTAGGAGGTGTGTGACACTTCCTGCTGATTTTTTAAACCAGCCTGAGGAGCTCATGTATTGTGGCAGCAGTAAATATTCYGAATTCCTGCACAGACACACACTTTTTTTAAGTAAAAGGATCAGCAGGACAAGGAAGCCAACGCTGCCACCTTCAGAACTTGGGTTATCTTGATTCTTGTTTTTAGGAACATAGAGTAAATACAGAACAGCTGAGATTGAGCCCAGTGTTGAATCATCATATTTATGTGACATCAAGGTGTTAGATTTTTTAATCACAGGACTTTTGGTTGATGAGGTTGATGGTTGATGAGGTTGATGGTTGATGGTATCTTTTTTCCAAAGAGACCCAACCTGTGAACCAATTTATCAATCAAATCACAACACTTAAGTGTTGGTTAAAATGTTGTTAGATGCTTAATTGGCTGTGCATAGTAATCCTGAATTTTCTGTTGTTTTTTTCCCTTTTTTTTATGTTTATTTGTTGGAATTCAGTGGTGTTGGTCGAAACTGGGGCTGGGCTTCTGCTGGCAGCAGCATCCTTGCTGAGTTTGGCACTTTGCACATGGAATTTGTCCACCTCAGCTATTTGACAGGGGAYCCTGTATATTACAATAAGGTGAGCCTCAAAAGTCAGTATTTTTGTCATACTTTTCATCATAAACTGCATGGCATTTCTATATTGAATTCTGTTTCCATTCGTGGTAGCAGGTAAATATTTTCATGCTTAAATTTCTGTTACCAAATAGATGTCCTTTTTAAGTAGAAATATATCACAGCATAGGTTTTCTTATTTATTTCAAAATATGTTTAGAAATCATAATTTTTAAAACATATTTATATTAGCAGTCCTTTAAAACCAAAAATACATGAATCTGAAGAAAGCCCTCAAGAAATTTTGTGGTTCAGATTAATAAAATTTGCTACTAAAATGAAAGAAAAATAAAAAAAGATTGGATTTAACTATGTGCAGAGGGCAGATGAACATTGTGAGCAGTGAACCTGATTCTTGATTTAATTTAGGTCATGCACATTCGGAAGTTACTTCAAAAAATGGATCGTCCCAATGGACTTTATCCAAATTATTTGAACCCAAGAACAGGCCGGTGGGGTCAGCGTAAGTATTCTTATTTTATTCATTTCTAATTAGAAGTCTACTTTTTATTTTGTTGCTGTGTTGGAGATCAGCAAGTTTATTCTGTAGGGCACAAACAGCATTGTTTGAAAACATAGAACACAGAAGAATTATTTACACCTGAGATCTAAAATAAATCTTTGCCTGTTGCTGTCTGAAATCACAGAGCTCAGTTTTTAGGGTATTTTATGGAAAGAGCTGCCTGCTAAATCTGATGCTTATCCTTTTATCAGTCAATAAAATCTTCAGTAATAAAGAAYGAGGCTGAAAGTATTTCCTCATTTTGATTCTGTTCCTGCTTTTGTTCACAAAGCATCTGGTAAGTGGATTATTGTAAGGTGACGTGCATTGCTGTCAGTTAATTCATGTTTGTGGTGGTTAAATTGTGTTAGGCACTGACATCTACAAACATAATTCATCTTTTTAATGCCATGTGAAATGGCATGATGAACCTCTTTATAGATGTAAAAAAAAAAAAAAAGCTTTGGAATGAAAAGTAAGAGCAGGTTTTGTTGCTGACAATGTAAGAGGAGAGATAAAACATCGAGAGAGACACCAACATGATTTCTTTCTTGAAGTGGTTCTTTCAAAAAAAGTTGAGTGGTTTTGTGCTTTGAYAGTGGTGGTGATAAAAGAGAATTTTTTTTCTTTAAGCTTTCTATTTCTATTCCTTTTRTAAATGCAGGTCTATTTAGGCAAAACAAGCAAGAGGATCTATTTCTGTCCTGTTTGACATCACTGCAAGGTTTTGGGGATTTCAGTGGTTGGCTGTAAATATCCAGCAGAACATGTTCTGGCTTGCAAACTGAGAATCTGCTTTTGACTTTGAATCTGCTATGTGAGGGAGATGAATACAGCTGTCATTGCAGGCAMTGTGAAATACTTGTCTAATCCCATCTTTAAAGCCAAAATTCTCTGCAAAGCATCTTAYATCTTTGAGTGAATCATGGCACCATCTGAGATGGGCAAATGGATCCATGGGATAAATTCTTCTGATAAATTCCAGTTTAACAACACATTCAGAAATAAGAAAACATGCAAATACAAATACTCATGTATTATTTATTCAAAAATATATGGTTGCTTTGAAACAATTTTTTCTGTTGATTTTTTTTTWATTCCTAACCATTTGCTTGTGCTAGTTTTATCAAAAGAGTTCTAGTGTGAGTTATCACCAGGATTCTTTAAGGAATGTTTCATAGAATTATAGAATTTAATTAATTAGAGAGTTCTACCTACTCYCTTTCAGTTTGAATCCCTCTCTCSTTGTCCTGTCATTAAATGCCCTTGTAAAAAGTCCCTCTCCAGCTTAATTGTAATAAAAATGCTCAGAATTACTACATCTTAGGAATAAAGTACTCCTCATCACTAAAAATAAACATAGTGAAAAGTTTGAATTTGCAGAAGTTTGGTGGAGTTCAAAYATATTATTACATGGATTTTGCAAGATAATAGATTTGGGACTCAAGTTTAGGATTAGAAACTGACACTTTTAAGTTTTGAGAATAAAAGAAATACAAATTAATAGAGCCTTTAATTTTTCTATGTTGCTCATGAGTCATAAATTTATTTCCTGGAATTTGGTGGTTTGGGGCTTTTTTTTAGCAAATACTGTTCCAAATGCATATTCAGATGTTCTGGTAGTATTTTACCAGTGCAAAAATGTCATGTCTTAGGATGATAATCTCCAGCTTAGTAAACTCACAGGGCTGCTCACTTTTGGGAGCACAAAAGGCAGAGATCTCTGAGATAAAAACAGTCTACTAGAAAAAGCAATGAGATAAGAAAATGAGCAGTAACAGCAACAATATTAATAAAAGGTATAAGGCAGAGAAATTATTTACATAGAAGATCTGTTCTTCCCAAGTGCTTTTTTTTTTGTCCTTGACCAGAAAGGATGCCCTTCTGCAGAGAGAAGAGTGATTTTCCTCCCCTGGCAATGGCCTGAGGTGGTATTGAATAATTTTAGGGTCTGGCCATGCCTTCTCCCAGCTGCTGTAAAAAATGAACCCTGTCCTGGCTGAAATTAGGACAAACCTAATCCTGGTTTTATGGGGCCTAGATAGTAAGAATCCATAATTCTCTATTTCCTTTCATAAACCTCGATGGAATGATGAGAAAATGTCTCTGTTGTATCCCTGGTGGATCAGCCTTTAGTGAGTCTGTTTGTGGAAGTTGAAGAAGCTCCAGTGGTTTGAAACMCTGGACAGATGAGATGGAATAGCTGAGGTTTGGGCAGGAATTTCTTTGTCCCTTGTGGGGATTATGTTCTGTACACCTGAGTTTGTTGAGTGAGGATGATGCTTTCACACACAACATCCCAAWGCACTGGAGGACTCGTGTCTAAGCCTCTGTTCCTGGCCTAAGTCAGGTATTAAGGGCAGAAAAAGCTTTGATGTTCTCCTCAGAAGGTAATTTCAAAGAGCATTGTAGTTGGTTTGTTACATACTTTGTACTGGACACACTGAGACAATGGATGGAGTATCAAAGTGTAACTTTTCTTTTTTCAGCTTTTGGCAAAGGTGCCCTTTTCATCTTTGCTGCGACCTTTAGTTTGATGCATCTTATCTTGTACAAAGTACTTTCTGCAGATAGTTTCTTAGAATTATTTTGGAACATTGTATTTGCCTAGATACAAGTAACTCCTCACTCTGACCTTTCTTGTGTCGCTTTTCTTTTCTTTCTTTCTTCAACGCTTTTTTCTCTCCTCAGCCTTTTTGGTTCAGTTCCAGTTAGGTTTTTTGTTAATCTGTGCAGTATTCCAACTAAGTCACAAGGCGTGTGAAATAGGTAAAATAAATTGACATAAATACATTCCTAAATGCAGTGCTGAAGATCTATGGCATATATCTGCAAYACAGCATCTTTCTGTGTTTATCTTATTTAATCTTATTTAATTTCTGTGGTTGGTTTATTTTCTGTTTCTGTACCCTTCATTCTAGTGATGAGTACCTTYATTCAAAGTAATAAAAACAACAGCAATTAGACCAACTAATTCTATTACTGCCAGTTGATTATCCAGAGAGTATTAGATGATGTATATGCAAGAATTCATTTAGGTCAAGTTTTCTCAGCASTTACATTTTGTCTTTGCCTTTTAATTAACTTTTTAAAGAAAAAAAATTGAATAAAAATTGAAGAAAAAAAATTGAAGAAAAAATTGTACCTTCTAGAAGTGTTGCTATTTTATTTAATTTTGTTTTAACAAGCTGATAAGTAAACTTCAAATAATACCTTATTATTTATAATAAGTTAGAAATCCTTAAGTATACTTCAAGGAAATTCCTGTTGCAAGATTGTGGAAGAAAAGGGAAGCATCATTTTCTGTGGCTTTTGTGTGACCCCGTAGGGCTGTAAACTGGATCAATCTCTACTTTTTTGTGGAAAATTTTTGATACCTTCTACCTTGATATATGATATTTTGATACTTTSTCCAAGCTGTTTGCACAAGGAGTATTTTAACACCTTCTCAGAGCTGTTTGCACAAGGAATATAGGCACAACCTAATTTTATGGGTTTTAACCATCCTTATTTTATGGGATTTAACCAAAGGTATTTTGCCCCTCAGTCTTCTTCATGTATCTAGAATTTTTGAGCGGTGATGAGCTGGCTTTTGTAAAGGTCTTTTTGGGGATCAGCAATTGTTATGGGATTTTTCTGTGCCTCAGGATATTTCTGTTGTAGCCTCCATAGATCTTAGGCCATGTTGTTGTTCCTTTTGTCTGAAAAGCTATGATCAGTGCAGTAACTTACAATTAGTAATAATTATTTCATTTCAATTCATTGAAATAATAGAATAATTAAATTATTACATAAGATATTAAATAATGGAATAATTTCATATTAATATAATATTAAATATTATATTGTATTATATTATATATGTATTATATTATATAGTGTATTATATTATATATGATAATATCATATTAAATAATATAATATTATTTCATTTCATATTCAATTAGTAATAATTATTTCACCAAGAAGGATGTGACCACTGCTTCCAGATTCTTAACAAGCTGTAGAGATGAGTCAAATCACTATGGAAATGTGGCATTAATCTATAACCATAGTCTATCTGTAGATAGTAGACTATAATCTATAGTCTTTGAAGTGATTACAATTTAATTAATATAAATGTTCATTTGCATTTGATGCACTTGAAGGGCTCTGGTGACAGATTGCTTCCTTTCTTTCTCTGCTTCATGAAGCAGCAGCAGCCAGRTCTGAAACCACAGCCAGCAGAACTGAGCAGGAACTACTGTTCCATCCCATAATTTTTTTCCATCTGAATGCTGTAAAACCCAATCCTAAAAACTGCTGGGTGAATGGCTTCCTGGTCATTGCTAAATCCCCTTCAAATCCCATTTCCAGTGCAAATGCTTTGTCATATGAGTGGACACCAATGCTGTGTAGGAACAAGGGGGTTCATAATGCACAGGAAGAGGAAAATGATGGTAAATGTTTGGGTTTAAGCTTACACTGTGGAAATATTATTACAGCYTGGGGGTCATGACAGACAGCTTTGGAATGGGTTCATCTCAGGATTTGTCAGGACAATGGGGCATTGAGTAGAAGGCAGAGCCATAATAACCACAGSAATATTGACAGATTCCATTTTTACTTATGGACTGAGGTGATGGTCCACTAGGAACAARTTATTTACAATCCTTCTGCTTTGGGGTTTCAGTTTCTGTAAGACTGAAAGGAAAAGAGCTGGCAGGAAGCATTTTCTAACCTTTCACATTAACCTTCAGTTGACTTTGTTAGCTTTTTGTTTACACATGGTGAATGGTGGGTTTGATGTGAACATCAGGACTTTGAATTTAGATTCTTTTGAAAAGCAGTACCAATGCTTTCTAGAGGAGCTTCCTAAGCAGATATAACAGAAAATTAATCAATTTAATTGATTAATTAATTAAATTAATTGACAATTAATTAATTTAATTGATTAGAAGCAGGGATTTCAGAATTACGGA